AATTTATGACCTCACAATTCTACAGGCTTGTAAATCTAAAAGCAGTACCATTATACCAAGGTTAAAATGGCAGGGCCAGTGTCCCTCCAGAGGCTCTAGGGAAGAACCCCTTGCCTGCCTCTTTCACCTACCAGTGGCTGCCAGCATTCCTTGGTTTGTGACTAGGATTTCAGTCTGCAACGTCAGCATCTTCAAACCTCTCTCTGCTCCATCTTCATGTCACCTTCTCCTCTGCATGTTTCAAGTCTCCCTTATGAGCCTTCCTTTTATGAGAATACATGATTGCATTTAGTTCTCATTCACATAATCCAAGTTGATCTGTCCATCTCAAGATCGTTAACTTAATCACAAAGACTGTTTTTGGAGGGGACATTGTTCAATGTATCACATTCCTCATTCCTGCAACCACTCATCTACTTTGTCTTTATAGAGTTACCTGTTCTTAACGGCTCATAAAAATATCACTTAAAAATATATGTTCCTTGTGAGTGACTTCTTTCATTTAGTATAATGTTTTGAAGGTTCACCCCCATTGTACCAGCACTTGTATGAATACTTCTTTCTTTTAATGGCTGAGCAATATGCCATAGTATTGAGATAAAGTTTGTTGATAGACATTTAAAATGCTCCATTCTTTGTCTATAATGTACAGTGTGCAACTGTGAACATTTGTGAATGTGTTTTCATGTGGACTATGCTTTCATTTCTCTTGAATATATAACCAACAGTGAGTAACTGGGCCATATGGGAACTGTGTGTTTACCTTTTTGAGAAATGGCCAAATGGATTCCTAAGTGACTGCGTCCTTTTGCACTCTCACCAGCAATGTAGGAGGGTCTAATTTCTCTCTAGTCTCCCCACACTCACATTGCCCGTCTTCTTGCTTCTGGCCATCCTAGTGAGTGTGAAGTATTACCTTTTGGGTTGGATTTGTGTTCACTTAATGATTAATGAGGCTGAATATGTTTTCATGTATTTATTGGCTGTTTGTATGTCTTCAGAGAAATGTCTACTTAAATCCATTGCTCATTTTTAAGTTGGATTATTTTTCATTTTAGCATTTGAAAAATGTGATGCCATAATCCTTCCACTCTTTCTGGTGGGGGATACACTGCTGTTCAAATCAGTGTTCTTTATAAATAATGCATCATTTCTCTCTGGCTGTGTTGAAGATATTCTTTCCAACTTAGTTCTCAGACAATTATCTATGATATGTGTTGATGCGTATTTGGGGGGGGATTCTATTTGGAGTTAAATAAGCTTCTTAGATCTGTAAGTTTTTCTCTTTTGCCAAATTGGAGGTGTTCTTAAGACATTTTTTAATACTTTTTCAGTCCCATACTTCTTCCCCTTTCCTTTTGGAGCTCTGATGATGTAAACATTACCTCTTTTGTTATTGTCTCACAGATTGCTGAGGTTATATTCATTTTTTCAGACTTCTTTATCTCTCTTTCATTCAGATGGAATGAATTTTATTAATCAGCCTTCAAGTTCACTAATTCTATCCCCTGTTCTTTGCACTCTCCTATGGAGTCCATCTACTGAAGTTTTAAATTTTTTAGTTCCACAATTTCCTTCTGTACTGATTTCCCATTTAATTCTTCAAAAAAAAAACTTTACCATTGTTTCTTTGCTTTTTCCTTTTCTTTATGGTGTTTTATGATAGGAAGTTTTAAAGTTTTTAATTTTGTCAAATTTCTCAGACTTTTCTCTCTTATATTGCTTATGTATCTCTGTTCATACACAATCATTTCTTTTCATTCTTATTTAGTATTTATCTTTTAGTACAGTTAAAGTTTATTTTAGACTAAAGCATGAATGGGGGAAAGTTTACTTTTGTCAAATAGTTAAACATGCACTGTGATGCTCTCTGTGATTTGCTACATATACCTACCTCTGTGGGCTGCTCCTGGCAAGCTTATCACTTCTATTCACTGGTGGACTTTCCTTGGACAGGGAAATCTATATTGATTCACTGATCCTCAAAAAAGAGGGAATAAAGGATGAGAACATGGGAAAAATTACCAAATTCTATGAAAAATACAACTTAAATATCTTATAGAGAAACAGAGCAAATAATCTATTACAAAGAAAGCAGAAGTGATGGGAGAACGATAATTTAAAGAATGTATAATAAATATTCTCAGAGAGATAAGGAAAACAGGAAAGTACAGTAATAAAAAAGGACAAATTAGAGATATTGATTATGAAAGGGAAAATTGTTGAACTAAGTAACTCAGCAAATGGAATGGGCAAGAGGATGAATTGGTGAGGGAAGGCAGAGGCAAGGAGTGCTCCCCAAAGACATTAGGAAGGAATATAGAATAAACAGTGTGAGAGAAAAAATAAGAGGTATGGAGAACAGAGACAGGATTGTCATCATCTCAAGGAAGCCCCAGAAGAAGAAAAGCAGCACATGGAGGGGAAGAATTATTTTAAAAGTAATACTGAGAATTTCAAGAACTAAAGAAGTACATAAGACTGACGTTAGGTAGAACGTATTCAGAGTTCCAAATAGAATGAAACTCACATAGTCCACATTAAGACATCATAAAATTTTCAGAGAAAAATTATCAAATCCTCCAGAGAAATGGAATAGATTGAGATAAAGAAAAATCAGATGGATATTACACTTTTCCATAACAACACTGAAGGTAAGAAGATCATATAATATATTCAAAAATTGGAAAAAAAGAATGACTCTTAGATTTTTTTTTCAGCACTGAGGTTTGAATTCAAGACCACAGGCTTGCTAGGCTCTTACCACTTGAGCCACTCCACCAGCCCTTTTTTGTGACTTTTTTTTTCAAGATAGGGTCTCTTGAATTATTTGCCTGGGGCTGGCCTCAAACTGGTGATCCTCCTGATTTCTGCCTCCCAAGTAGCTAGGATTACAGGCATGAGCCACCAGCACCAGCAACTTTTAGATGTTAACTTAAAATGTAGAATTTATTGACAGTTTGGAATTAGTGGAGAGAATTAAGACAATTTTGAGGTCAGCAATGTCAAGGTAAAATATTTTAAAAGATATAGCTAAGTGCTGTCTCTTAGCATCTGAGATGACAAATATGTATTTTTGTTCAGTCTACTTTTATCTCTTGTTAAATTTCTTAAGTGATTCTCAATTATTTCTTGTTGTAGATGTGGATTTGCCCCCAATCCACTGACATTTTCTAAGTTTGATAAACAAGAAAAGATTGACTTCAGCCATGTACAATTGAAAATCCAATAAAAGGAGCATCAACACACTCATGTTTATATTTATATATGATTTTATTATGAAAACTTCCAAGAACACCGAGGGATAGAGACATCTAACACACACATCCCATGGCTTCACTGCATTTATTCTCACCTCCCACTTTTTCCTTGGCAAGATCAACCCATAGGTGGTGCTGTGGACTTCATATAGATTAGCAGGAAGCACATATTATCTAGTCATCTAGATTAGTGGTTCAAGTGACATAGCAGCATTAATTAGATGTCTGAGATCCTACAAAGCAGCTAATCCCACCTGGGTATAGATCCTAGAGGAAGTCGTCCATGATTCCATAAGAGAATGTGGTGGCAGCTTGAATATGAAGCGTCCCCCACAGGCTCGTGTGTTGGGGACACGGTTGCCAGCTCAGGGGCTTTGGGGAAGTGATTGAATCCCAAGGGCTCTGACCCAATCAGTGGATCAATCCCTTCATGGGTTCATAATAAGGGGGCATTGTGGGGAGGTGGGGACAAGTAGAGGGAAGGGTCTAGTTGTAGGAAGTAGGTCACTGAGGGCTGTATATTGCCCTGGCCCCTTCCCATATTTCCTTCCTTTGCTTCCTATCTGCAATGGGGTGAACAGCCTCCTTCTCCACACACTCCCACCGCCATGATGTCCAGCCTCACCACAGACCCAGAATCAATGAAGCCAAAAACCATAGCCTGAAATCTCTGAACCCATGAGCTAAAATAAACCTTCCCCTCCTTAAGTTAATTATGTCAGGCACTTTGTCACCATGATGCAACATCTGACTAAGACACAGGCATTGTTTGGGATTTGGAGAAGTGAGGGCAAAACAACATAGCCACCTTAGTTCTGAATGCCGCACTGTAGGGGAGGGGGAGTTGCACACAATACACAATGGAGTAAGATGCAGCACTGAAAAGCAGTGGCCTGGGACACAGCCAGCAATAAGTGAGACAAGTATATGAAAAAGTTTCATCACAAATTATTTTATACATGTAAAAAATAATCACAGAAAAAAATTAGTGCATGTTTTGCGAATACAAGTTCAATTTCAAAACTGCATATGAAATGCATTAGAGTGGTTGCCTTGGCAGGGAAGCAAGTAGAAATAGGGGATGAAGATAAAAAGAAAAAATTAAAGAAAGAAGCAAAAGTGTTCCGTGCACAGATAGTTGATGGCTCTGTGGTATAAACTAAAATATCTGTGAATAAACTTCTGTATTTGGCCCTCCCACATAAAAAAGTGTATGGTGGCCTTTGTTATGACTGCATGGCTGACAGTCAGTCAGTTGTTCATGGGGACACCCATTCTAAGCATCCAGTACCCAGACTGTACTGGATGTTAAATGTCCTGAATGTGACTCTGGCCTAGTCTTATTTGATGGATGTGACATCTTTTCCTGCTCCCTAAACAATGTTCTTTCAGCTGCAGTCAATTATTCTGTGTGTCCAACTTGGTTTTCTTTTTTAGGCTATGGAATTTCTTCACAGGATTAACATATTGAATATTGCCCCCCTGAGGTCATATCTTATTTGTGGATGAATGTTTGCCTGGCACCAGCTGAAATAAGGAGAGAGAATCAGCCCTAGGAAAGAAGGAGCAGGTGTGGAGGTGGGGAAGATGCTATGCTGGGTGTTGGGAGGCACAGACCCAGAGACAGTTAAACCTCCCGTGAATGGTCACCTTGAGGAAGGTCAAGGCTTGGGTAGTGAATCTTGGGGTGCTCAACACAAGGATGAGTTGTCTCCCATTGGCTTGGACATAGGCTTTTCCTCACAGTGTTATGGTGTCCAATAGCTGGCGAGGGGGAGGAAAATAGGTATTCCTCCTGTATTCGGAGATGTGGCTAAATGCACCCAAGGGTTGCAGGGCCTGGTCTGGAATGTCGTAATCAGAAACCTCTATCATTGCTGTCCCCATAGTATCCTTATGGTCCTGAGGAAGAAGGATGAGGAGGAAATTCTTAAGTCCAAGTGAATCCTCTCTCTGTCCTTTTTCCTGCCTCTTTCTCTCACCTTGGCCAGTTATCTGATCTCCTCCTCCTCCCTCCTCCTTTCAGCTGCCCCTCCCATCCCCCTAAACCCATCCTCCAAACACTCAGCTTTCTCCTCTTGCCCTTCCTCCTCTTCAGAGACTAGGGCGGAGCCTGAAGATGAGGACCCCAGTTACTTCTCTTTCTTTGGGGTCCCTTTCTGAGAGAAAAGCAGACGTTTTAAGAAATGATCGATATTTCCATTATGTAGCATCTATGAGTTTACCTGGCCATCTTTTTTTTTTTTGGCCAATCCTTCCTGGGTCAGGAGTGGCCCCAGCCCACTCACCTGGCAGCACCTATAGCCCAGGAGCATGCACAGAGCTGACAGCACCAGGGCCTTGACCACCAGGAGTCCACAATGCACAGAGGCCAGGAGCCCAGGGGAAGGAAGAACTTGAATTCCTGGAGGGAGGGAGAGAAAGGAGGGACTTGTGCAGGGATGTCGCCTGTCCCTGAGTCAGGACCCTTCTGACTGGAGCCCATGTGCATAAAGACCACCCTGAGAAGACTCTTAGGAACAACGGACACAGGGCTGGGAGGTGGAACCACATGGGGAGGAAACCTGGTCACGGGAAGCCCAGAAGAAAAATGCAGAGGGGGTGGGGGACACAGGTATGGAGGCGGGAGAATAGAGCCCCAGGAGCAGGACTGCTCTGTGACCGGGTCAGAGACAGGGCCACCAACTGGTCCAGAACAGAAGGTTACTCCAGCTAGCCAGCTAGGCTGATCTGCTGGGAGGAGGGGGTCCCCAGAACCACAGCACTGGATCCCAAGAGGCTCCTCCCTCACACAGTGGGGCTATCAAAGAGCATTTGCTCCTTTGATATTATGGTTATTATAGGACTGCCGTGTTCATTTTAGACATTTTCAATTAATTTTTCCAGTCTGACATCTGCTTGAGAATGTCCCATTCTCATGGGACATGAGAGTGGTTGAGTATAATTCCTAATTCTTGATATAACTGATTTTTTTACCCTATGATTTGTGCATTTCAAGTTTTCTATAAGTCCTTTCTCTGATACATCATAGTCAGCCCTGGGGAAATAGTTTGAGAGACCTTATCTTGAAAAAACTCTCCCCATAAAAGAACTGGTGGTATGGTTCCAGCAGTAGAGCATCTGCATAGCAAGCATAAGGCCCTGAGTTCAAATCTCAATGCCACCCACATCTGAACAATGGGCCCTCTGCCCCACTAACTTGTGATGCTGCCCTATTCATAAAGAATGTTCCCACTGGGCGCTGGTGGCTCACACCTGTAATCCTAGCTACTCAAAAGGCAGAGATCAAGGGGATCCTGATTTGAAAACAGCCCTGGGCAAATAGTTCTGAGATCCCATCTTGAAAATACCCAACACACACACACACACACACACACACACACACACACACGGTTGTCAAAGTGGCTTAAATGGTAGGGCACCTGCCTAGTTCAAACCCCAGCACCGCCAAAATTAATAAACCATATGCGGACCTGGTTGGGACCCTTCATTGGGTCCGTTGTTCCATTGGCCAGTTCTTGCACCAGGACTGATTGCATTGCTGCCTGCAGTATCACTTTGTCTTTGGTAAGACAAGTACTGTCCTATACTTTTACCTTTTCGTGGTTGACTTAAATTTATCAAGCTTTAAAAAAATTAAAGTTGTGTTTGAGATTATGTTTACAGAATTGTTAATTTGGGGGAAACTGAAATCTTTATATTATTGAATCATCCAAGATCATGGTTTATTTCTATTTATTCAGATTGCCTGTGGTAATTATTAGAATTTTAAAATTTTTCTCCAAAGACATATTTATATTAATTTTCCCTAGAAACGTCATAGATGTTGTTACTATAATGAATAAGAATCTTATTTTGACTAAATTTTTCAAAGTGATTATCCCTAATATGGAACTACTTTGGTGGGGGGAGGGGTGGTACTAGGGTTTGAACTCAGGGTCTTACCCTCTCCAGACAGGTGTTCTACCATTTAAGCCGTATCTCCGGCCCTTTTTTCTTTAGCTAGTTTTCATACAGAGTCTTGTGGTATTGCTGGGGTAGCCTGGACATTATCATTGTATTTACACTTTCCACATAACTGGGATGATAGGCACCACACTGCCTAGCTACTTGTTAAGATGGGGGGGTGGCCCTAACAACCATTTTCCCTGGGCTGGCCTCGAACCACAATCCTGGTCTCTTCCTCCAGAATATCTGCGATTCCAGGAGTAGACAACTGTGCCCAGCCCTGCTTTTGGTTTTTGTCAGTTGATCTTGCATCTGTCAACCTTGCCTAGCTCTTTCATGAGCTGTAATAGTCGATCGATTCTACTTATTTTTTCCAAGTAGTTGATCATATCGTCTGTAAATTGTGACGGTATTTATTCCTCTCACCTAACCTTCTTTCCTCTTACCTACTATCCTGTTCTTCTATCATTGGCCAGGGCCTCTAGTATGATACTAAGCATTAGGGATAGCTATGGAAGTCCTTAGTTTGCATTTATACTTCCTCCAATCAGTAATATTTATTGTGGTCACTGGAATACAATCTTTACCAAGCTGTATTTTCCTGTTTCTATTTTATTAAGAGTATTTCCTTACAATACAAATGTACGGAACTTTTCCAAATACTTTTTTAACATCTGTTGAATTCTCTTCTTATAGTTTATTGACTTGGCCCACTTACATCAATAGATTTTCTAAAGTTGAGCAATCCTTTCAGTCCTGAAATGAACCTCACCAGATCACAACACACTGTTTCTTAATACACTCTTGAATTCAGTCAGCTAATATTTGCTTTAGTTTTGATGCCTTGTTCACCATAAGCTAGAATTTTCTTTTCATTGTCCATAGCTGGTTTTGAGATTATGAGGACACTAGCCTCTTCAAATGACCTAGGCAGCTTTTGCTTCTTTCCTATTTTCTGCAATGTCTTGTATAAAGTAGGAGTCAAATGTTTCTTAAAAGTTTGGTGATAGCTATAAAACTGAGTCTTAAATCTTTGAAGATAGGTCTTTATCTAACATTTCAGTTGTTTTGTATTTATTAATACAAAAATTTGTTTCTTCTATACAAATTTATTTCTTCTTGTATTAATCTTAGCATTTTATAATCCTTATAGGAATTTTTCTAGTTCAAGGATTTTGAAAAAGAATCTGTTCAGGGCTGGTTGCTGGTGGCTCACGCCTGAAATTGTAGCTACTCAAGAGGCAAAGATCAGGAGGATCGCAGGTCGAAGCCAGCCCAAGCAAATAGTACATGAAAACCCTATCTCAAAAAACCCTATCACAGGAAATTGGCTGGTGAAGTGGCTCAAGATAAAGGCCCTGAGTTCAAGCCCCAGTATTGCAAAAAAAAAAAAAAAAATCTGCTCAGGATTTATTTATTTAAAAAGCCTCGTAGCTGGGCATGGTTATGCATATCTATAATCCCAGCACTGCAGGAGGATTTACTTACGCCTGCTTTATTGGTCCCTTTTCATCTTCTTCAGTTGAGGGGTTGACTCATTAATTTTTGACCTTTTATGTTTTCCAACAAATGTACTTAAAGCTATTGATTTCCTCTCTAAATTCAGCTGAGGCTTACAAAATTTGACATGGGTGGATATGGGATCATAATATATTTTATTATATATTTAATGATTTACATAAGAATATATAGCTTCGAAACATCCTCATTTAGCCTTACTTCTCTGGTGCATTCTTAATTTTGTTCCATTATTTTGGAGAATATATTCTGAGTTTTTTTAGTTTTTCTTTAGTGACAGTGCTGGGAATTGAACTCAGGATCTTGTGCTTGGCAGGCGGGCACTCTATCACTTGAACCACACTTACAGCTGGAGAATATATTCTGCATCACAGTAATGCTTTGAAATTTATCTAACCTTTTCTGGAAATATTCTCTATGTATTTGAAAGAATGTATAATAGATGCTTTTGCTTATGTAGAGTGTTTTATATACACATACATATGTATGTGCGTATCTATATGCAGTTTATATATTTGCAAGTATCTTATCAAATATTTATGATTTTCACTTATATAGTTGAGACATTTTAAATATGTAAATGCATACTTCATATATTTATGAAAATGTTTAGAAAGGTAATCTATTCCCATAAATATATATCATTATGTACATAATGTATTTATAAATGTTATATAAATGACGTAATACCTGCTTTAAATTTAGATTCCTCTGTTTAATTTTTGTCTTGTTAGTCTTCGATCTTTTGAGAGGGATGTGTAAATTATTATCCTGATAATGTTGCTTGATATATTTATGGCCAAATGTAGAGGCACATGTATGTTTTATTACAGTTCCATTTTCTTATTCAAGTTTGGCTCTTATTAGTATATGGTATATATCTCTGTGTCATAATATTTTGCCTTAAATGTTTTTGCTCAACATTAAGGTTGCCACAGTAGTTTATTTCAGATAAGCCAGATATATTTTTTCAACTTCATTTTTTGTAAATATATCTCTTATAGCAAAATAGTGTTGGAATTTTTTTTTAACTCAAGAGTCTGAGAATTTCTTTATTTTTGAGTTTAACCCACTTAAATTGATTGGGATTGCTTTATGTTAGGACTTATTTCTGCCTTCTTATTTCACTTTCACTATTTACCATGCTTTATTTTTTTTAATTATTTTCCTACTTCCCTTTGGATAGAGTTTTACTTTGCTGGTTTAAAAGATATATATATATTCTAGTTACTTAGCTGAAGACCTAGGTCTATTAATGCCTTAAACTTACCAACAAGTGCTTAATCATCTTTTCAGGGCCTTCTGGTCCTCCTCGATCCGTGAGGACATTGTCTGCAATAGTATTCTTCAGTTGTCATGGGTATATTTTCTGTTTTTGTTCTAGGTTCCTTTTTATAAAAAGGAAAGAATGACAAAAATAAACTGTGCCAAAGTGCTTGATCACACTCACTTCCTGGCCTCTTGCAGCATCTCCTGGATGTGTTTTTCAGCTTGATTCCATACTTTCTCCAAGGGTGTTTTCATGAAGTTCTCTGCATGTGACAAACCTTCAGAGGCTGAGAAGTTCCAGAGTACTCCAACTACACATTGGAAGGACAGTGTGGCTGGGCAGAAGTCCTAGATACAAAGTTCCTTTCTTTAACACTTTGAAAATAGTAGCTGTCTTCTTACAGCCAGTGGTTCTGGTTCAAATCAAAATCTTGTTTCTTTGTAGTGACTTGAAACCTTCAGAATGCTGTATTTGGGGCTTACATGAATTATGTCACTGAGTCAGAGCTCTCCCTGACCATTCTTTTGGCCAGAATGGCCACATAATCACACGTTCAGGTGGAACCAACCTGCTCCAACTGCTATGCCAGCCAGAAATAGTTAAGAATTCAGGGTCGGCCTAACTGCAGGAGATCCTTTCCCACATTTCTATCAGGATTTGGATTCAAATAGATGTCAATGAATAGAAAATTGATCCCATGGGTGCAGTACCTGCTATGCTTCAGCTGCCTTATCTATAAAATATAAATTTTTTTAAAAGAACACTGTGTTTTTATGTTCTTACATAATGGATCTAGGGGTGTATCTGTCTATCTGTGTCTATAAGTGTTTCTTTTTTTCCTTCCTAGGAATATATGAGTGTTTTTAATCTGCGATCTTTCCTTTTTCTATAATTCTGAAAAACTTATATTTACTCGCTCACAGGGATTCTTTCCTTTTTCCTTTTTCTTTTTTCTTTCTTTTTTTTTTTTTTTTTTCAGTTCTTGAGATCAAACTCAGGACCTTGCACATGCTAGAAAAGCCCTCTACAACTGAGCTACATCCCCAGCCCCTCTCAGGGATTCTTAATACCCCTCCCTATGTTAGTACACCTACTTTTCTCTTTCACTTCATTTAATTTCTCTTTGCTTCTTTTTAAATCTCATCCTTTTCCAGAAACATTGAGAAAACACCTTAACTTTTCTTTCAGTTTACCCTCCAGCATCTATCCTTTATTTCATGTATTATTATCTAGAATATTGTTCAGAACTACTATTACCAATTTAGCTCTTTCTCATCATTTTTTGCATTTTGGTAGAACTGGCTTTTGAGCTCAGGGCCTCATGCTTGCTAGGCAGAGGCCTCTTGCCACTTGAACCACTCCATCAGCCCTCGTGGTTCTTGTTCTTGGTTCACAGTTTATATCTTCCCTTACTCCTTGAGCCAGATCAATCGTATTTCTTGGAATTGTTGTACTGAGGCTGTGCATTGGATGGTTTTATTGTTTAGTGGTTGTCTTTCTTTTTAAAGCTGTAGTTCCTCTAAACTGTCAAGTAATTTTTGCCTACGAATTCAGATTCTTCTGGGGTTATCAGATACACAGTCTGGTAACGGAGAAGAGTGAAAGCTAAGTCTTTTGGCCTAATAAATGTTAAAAGTGGGAAAGATAATCCTTGAGCACAAGACTGTAGGCACCCCATTTTCTGCCATTCTTATCCTGTGTTTGGGGTTTCCTTTTTAATCTCACTGGGAGATAGTCCTTAGAGTGAAACCTTCCTGCCTGGGAATGGGAGCAGAAAGCTAGGGAGTCAGTGCTTACAGGTGCTTACTCATCTATTTCCGTCAATCCTTACTGCTTTCGCTGTACCTCATGGCCCCCCAGAGCACCCTTGACCTTGGCCATTGCAGTTGATTTCTCAGTGAAGAGAAGGCCTCAGTACCGGTGAAGGCAAGGGTAAAGAGAAGTGAAACAAATTCTTCTCACCTTCTGTTTGCTGCTACCATCTGCCCCAGCCTGTGGTTGCTCTCCACACCCACCATTCAACACACACCAACACAGCCTCCAGTTCTCACATTTTCCAGGTTCCATTTTAGATCATTCCAGAAATCCATGTTCATCTGTCTTTTCTGTAGTTCCTCCAACGTTCATAACCTGTGTCTCCCTCCCCATCTCTCTGCTCTGTCCAGGCTCCACGAGCTGCTCTTCAGTACCCTGTGCCAACCATCTTGAGAAAAACCCTTGAGTCCCCTGTCCCCAACTCCCAGACTGCATGAGATATTTGGACATCCCTGCTCAGGACCCTCCCTCCTGTGAGACCCCTGCCTTACCTGTGCCTTGAGCCATTGATGAAAGGGTCAGAGGTCCCCTCTGGAGAAGTGATCACAACTAAAGGGACACAGAGAAACAGTGGCTGCTCAGAGGACCAAAATAAGGACTGAGATAGGGTCCCAAGAACCATGACAGGAAGTGGAGAAGGGATAGAACCAACAACTCAGAGTCCCTCAGGCCAAGGGAAAGTAGACCTGAGATTTTTTTTTTAACTGATACTAAAAATGTCTGCCCATTTGTGGGGTGCCAAGTGTGTTTCAATACATGTATGCATTATGTAATATTCAATTTAGAACAAACCTATGTACTCAAACATTTATCATTTCTTTAGGTTACAGCATTCAAAAAAATCCTTTTTCCTAGATTTTCTTTAATAAAGAGTATGTGATCATCTATAGTCACCCTACCATGCAACAGAATGGCAGTTTTTCCTAACTAACTATACTTAGTGTTCTTCAGTCAAACTTTCCCCATCCTTCCCTCCCTCCTGGGAACCACCATTCTATGTCAACTTCTATGAGATCAACTGTTTCACCTTTCACACGAGTGAGACCACGTGGTACTTGTCTTTCTGTGCCTGGCTTACTTCACATAGCATAGTGATGTCCAGTTCCACCCATGTTGTCACAAATGACAGGACTTCTAAAAGGTATTCCGTGGTATACCTGTAGCACTGTTTTCTTTATCCACTCATCAGTTGATGGATACAGGATGTTTGCATTCCTTGGTTATTGTGACTAGTTCTGCAATAAACATGGGCGTGCAAGGGTCTCTTTGACAGACTGATTGCACTTCCTTTGGATATAAATACTTAGTATTTATCCAATATGGATGGATGGACCATATAGTAGTTCTGTTTTTAGTTTTTTGAGAAGTCTTCATGCTGTTTTCCACAGTGGTTGTATTTGCACTCCCAACAACAGTGTGCAAAGGTTCCCTTTTCTGCATGGCCAGCGCTTGCCATCTTTTCTCCTTTTATTAACAGCCATTCTTGCTGGAGAGGGGTGATACCATTCTGTGTCTTTCATTTGCATTTCCCTGGTGATTAGTGGTACTGTGCATTTTTTTGTGTGTACTTCTTTACCATCTGCCTGTTTAGATTGGGCCTATGATCTTTATAACTGTTAAAGCCAAGCCTGGCACTTGGGTCCAAAGGTGACAGTCTCTCCCCAATTTGGTGGAAAGTGAGGGACAAGGCTGAGACACCCAAGTCTAAAGTCTCCCAGTGCAGGTGTGACTCTGAGGACACTGAACCCATCTCATAAGAACACAGCCAGTTTCATGATGGGATTACATAGTGCCTGTTTATCTCCCAATGTCTTAAGCCCTGAACAGCCCAAGCCCCAGAGGCAGGCCTCCTTGGTCCCTCCTTACCTGAATCTCAGGATCCCCAAGTTGTGTGGCCATCCCTCATTCCTACACACACACACACACACACACACACACACACTGAGACTCCAAACCTACCTGGAAGCCAGGTGGTGTTCCATACGGGAGACGTGGTCCATATGGGAAATGTGGTCCCTGAGGGAGACATGGAAGAAGCTGAAGAGAAAAGAGTGACAATTATGTAGAGATCCAGAGAGAGAATGAGGTCTGACCCCAAAGCTGTGAGGGGACATAGGGAGCTCAGGGCCAGTCCCTCAGAATCCATCATGCCAGCAGTGACCTACTCCTCAAGTCTGCACACCAGAGCTGTTGATGTGCCTGTGTAAGAAGGATCAGAGTGAGACTCCAGTTTTCTGTCCCATAAGCCCTACCCTGGACATGTCTTCTCCCCAGCTGGGGCTAGAACTGGCAGGAGGGGCAGAGATAAGAACTCATCTCTGGGGACAGGGCTTCTCAACTCCTAATAGATCAGTGCAGAAGGCCCATCAGGATTGGGAGTGAAAGAGGCACAGGACAGGAACAAGTGGCATTTCTCCCTAGGAGAGGGAGTATTTTCTCACCTGGAGACACCACCAGGCTGATGTTTCTGAAAACAGTGATCACATTTTGGGAAGAGTTGAAGCTTCCACACCAGTAGAATCCTGTATCCTCTTCCCTCAGCTGGATCATGATGATGATAAAGAAGCCAGCTTCAGGAACATCCCAGATTGTATGTCGAGACACCTCAGCTGCTATCCAGGGCTGGGATGTAGTGACCAGTCTGGTACACTTATTTGGAGCTGTCTGATGACACCAGTATTTCAACACATAAGACCCTCTCTTCGGCGGGTACTGGCACCTCACAGACAGCGTCTGTCCGGCCACTTCATGAAGTTCGTCTGTTGCTTCCCAGGAACCTGGGCCACAAACACTCAAGTCAGAGACCTGGCTGGATCTGCCCCTCACAGGACTGGGGGGAGGGAGGAAGGAACAACTTCTAATGCCCACCCTGGCCCTTCATCCCAAGCCTCAGCCCCTTGCTCTCCAACCTCCATCTCACCTGAGACCAAGAGCACCACCAGCACAGGGTGCAGCAGCCTGTGTGGATGTCCCCAGGCCATGCCACCCATCCTGTTTCTGTCAGAGGAAGAGAGGGAAAGAAGCAGAGACCTCTGGGCAGAGGAAATCAGAAGCTGGATTTGATTCCTTCCCATCATTCTCAGCATCTCTGAGCTATAAAGACTGAGGAAGCTCAATGCCTAGATTGGGGAAGTAGGAGCGTGGGAAGGCGAGCACTGTGGGCACAGGGGAGGAACAAGAGCTAGGTCTGGATCAGGCTCCACCAATTTTAGGGTCTGTGTCTGGGCCCTCACATCTCAGCCCTACCCTAATTGTTTGGCTTCCCTTTGACCAATTTCTTCCCATTTCTACTCCATGCCCTCACTTTCCATGGGGGAAGCTCTGAGGATGCTTGAGAAGAAACCACGGTGAAGTACAAGACTGTTCCTCTTTTCTTTCTCTCTGTGTCCTCTTTATGAGAGGTTAGAGGCTCTTGGAGATATGCTTAGTGTCCTGGTCATGGTCTCCAGAGAAAGACAAAGGACCTTCTTTCCACACAAAATGGTGTAATGATTAGGGATGTTTGGGGTGGGCAGACTTCAGTTCCAGGAGTTGTGAGGATGGCCCCTGGGAAAGATGGGGCCAGGAAGGAAAGAGAGTGCTGAGCAAATATTATCAGAGGGGAAAGCAGGAGGTGATGGATCAGTTAGGGGTGAGAAAGAAGGAAGGGAGGAAGTTAGAGTTGTCTCAATCAGTGTTTTTTGGATGAACACATGAGTGGGGAGAGGATGGAAAATTCCACCATGTTAACACTGTATGTGTAAAACTATATGGAGAAAAAGTAATCACCAGGGTTAGAACAATCTAGTAACAAAATAAAGTGATATTGGATTATAATCCAAAGTATAAAATGTATATCATGAGTCCAGAACAATTTAAATAAATGATGGAATAAATAACCAACTGAAGAAGAGATGAATCTCCTGTGCATAAGGACGCTCTGGGCTGGGACGTGGCTCAAGCAATAAAGTGCCTGCCCAGCAAGCACAAGGCCCTGAGTTCAAACCCCAGCACCGCCAAAATAAATAAATAAATAAAGACTCTGCTGTGGTTGGAAAGTTCGTATTCACCCAAAATCCTACTTCAAAAGTAGATTCCAAAAGAGCTGAGACCTTTTGAGAGTTGATTGGATCACAGAGCTCTGCTCTCATGAATAGAATTGGTGCCATTGTAAAAGAGACCAAGGGGAGCATGGTCATCCCTTCTGCCACCTGAGGACAGAGTTTGCCCTCCATTCTGTGAGAAGCATATGATTTGAAGCACATGTTCCCTAAGGGTTTGTGTGTTGCCATCCAGTCCCCGGGATGGCAGCATTGGGAAGTAGTGTGGAACCTTTAAGAGGCAGACCTAGTGTTAGTCCTAAGACAACTGAGGCATGCCCTTGGAAGGAACTATCGGCCTCCAGTCTCTCTCTCTGGATTCCTGCCATTTGATGCCACATGCCTTGAGGCCTTCACCAGAGCTGAGCTGATGCTGGCACCAGACCTTTGAACCTCAAGATATGTGATCTAAGTAAGCCTCTTTTCTTTATAAAGTAGTGTCTCAATATTTCATCATAGTATCAGCAAATTGCCATCTTAGAAGCAAAGAGAAGCCCTCACTAGACCTGGAATCTACCTTGGACTTTCCACCCTTCAGAACTGTGATAAATAAATTTCCATTATTTATAAAATAGCCTGCTCAGATATTTTGTATAGCAGCGCCATTACGCTGAGGTAGATTTTAAACAATTTATATACTTATTCTGCTCTCAAGGAGGGGAGCACAGTTTCCTATGGCCTAAGTGTGGACTGTGCAGAGTAACTTCCTTCCAAGAAATGCAATGTGGAAAGGGTAGAAGGGTAGACAAGTGGTAGAACACCTGTCTAGCAAGCTGAGGCTATGAGTTCAAGCCCCAGTACTGCAAAAAGGAAGGAAGGAAGGAAGGAAGGAGGAAGGAAGGAAGGAAGGAATCCAGAGAAACCACCACAGACAAGAGAATGCCTAAGGAGACATGAGGACTAAATGTATTGCGGTGTCCTAGATGGGATTCTGGGACAGGAAAAGGAATGAGGTAAGGACTAAGGGACTCTGAAGGAAGTGTGGACCTTGGTAAACAGCAATGTGTCACAGAAGCAGTGAGTAAAGTATTGGCTATCAGCGGCCGGGGGAGGTGGAGGATTAGGGAGACGTTTGTGAAAGGCCACAACATTTCAGTTAGACAGGAGGAAGAACTTCCAAAGATTTATTATACATCCTAAATAACGACAACAAATACCTACCTGAAAACAGCTAAGGCTTCTCACCACACACAAAAAATAAGTATGTGGGGTAATGCACACCTTCTAGAACTTTAGTCAGTCATTCCACAATGGCTACATCCCTCAAAACATCATCCATGCCACAAGTGTATGGTTTTTATCTATTAATTAAAAAATAAAATAATAATGTATTGGTTGGTTCATTCATTGTGACAGGCATACCTTAATGTGAGATGTTAATGGCAGAAGTTGGATTTGAGTCATTAGATAACTCTGTAGTAACACCACAACTTTTCTTTACATCTAAAACTATTTTAAAATAAAAAGATCTGTGGTTTGGAAGTGTCTCCAAAGGCCATGTGTTAAAAGGATTGGCACCACCTGTGGCACTATTGAGGAGTAGTGGAACCTTTAAGAGGTGGGGCCTAGTAGAAGGAAGTTAGGTCATTGCTTCCTGGACACCATAAACTAAGCAGCCTCTTCTGCCACATCTCCCATCAAGATGTACTGTGCTGCCTTAAGTTCACAGTAACAGAACCAAGGGACCATGGACTGAAACCATGAGTCAAAATTAACCCTTTCTCTTATTAACTGGATTGTCTCAGATATTTGGCCAGTGACAGAAAGCTGACTAACACAAGAAGTTTGTTTTTTTTTTTAATGTATAGAGAGTATTTACACAAAGGTATTTTTAAATGCTTGATATAACAAAGAAAAGAAAAACAATGAACCTACTTTAAGTGCAAAGAATTCTAGCTGCAGCTATGTGAATAGTTTCTCTAGGTCTGCTTGCTGCAAGGACTGTATAGATCCTGTGGGTGTCAGGTGAACACCCTGGATTTTCCAAGTTGGTTACATCAGTGAGCTCTCCATAGGTGGGTTCAGTCTTCGTAGTGCCCTCTCCAGGTGACATGATTGGTCTTCTCAAGATCCATCAAGTGCCTGGATCTCTCTGTCCTGGTCCTGCTGTGGAACAGGGTCCCCAGATCCCCAGGGAGAAGGAAAGGGTGACAAGAAGAGGGAGGAGGCAGGAAGCTGGAGTTTCTGAGGAAAATGACCGGGAGGCTTCTCTGGAAGCCAGGAGGCAACCTAGGTAAGAAAGAACAAAAGAGAAGGGAGGGTCTCCAGCTACTTCCTGCCCATGACCCAGTGTCCTCCCACTGGGCTGAGAATAGTACACCCACCCTGCCTAAGGGCCTCTGCCCTCATAGACCCCATAACCTAAGCCTGGCCCTGTCTCTAGCCCCTGTGTGTCCAGTCTGCCCAGGGCCCACTCCTGACTATCACTCTAGTTGTGCCTCAGACTCTGCTGCTACTTGTCCCACCCAGCAAACTGGTCTTGCCAAGGGACCCACACACGAAAGGTCATGTGGATGGTTCCAAGCCTGCAGCACTTGGTGGCCTGCTGCACACGGTGGCTCGGGATCCTGTGCTGTGTCCCATTGTCCTTCCTCTACAGCTGCTCTCATGGCACATGAGCCCCACCCTGCTCCTCCCTGGTTGTTCTTGCCTGCTTGCTGGGTGGGGAGGACCATAGCACCACCATCTCATACCTGTCTGGTTGTGCAGGCTGAGCTGAGAGAGAGCATGGAGCCACCCCAGGCTTCACAGAGAGCTGGCTTTTGAAACCTGTCCTGGAGCACACACACAATGCTTTCCCATGAGCCTCAAGTGGTGTGTCCTCAGGGGTCCAGAATATGACACTTTGGCATAAGGATCATTTCGAGCTATAGACAACTGGAAGTCAACAGATGCAACAAGAGTTCTCTGCCCTCTCCTGATCTGATTTTATGCAGGACATAAAATCCCTCTTGTCCCTTCTCGCCAGGAAGAGAAGTGCACCATCCCAGAGATGCCATCCATGCTGAGCTGGACTTTTCTAAAACCACACTCATCTTCCATTAGTTCCTGCCACTTACCAAGGAATTAGTGTTTCTCGAAGCCCAAACCCCCTTTTCCACTGTTAAAATCACACAAAAGCCCCAGGTCTCACTACTTTCTCAAGGGTCACTTCTTTCCTGTGAACTCCCACGCACACCAAATGTTAATAACAGTTCTGTGCCCCTTTTCTTTTATTGGTTTGCCTGCTGTTGGTTTAATATGCAGACCCTTAAACACAAATCTAAGAGGCAGAGGAACTTTTTCCTCCCTATACTCTCCAACAGCCATTCCAAATGGACCTCATTTTCAGGTCCAAGGACAAAGTGATCAGGGAAGAAACCCAGGGAAAAGGGCAAAACTTCAGAGGCACCAAAAACCAAAAATATGTAAGCTCTTTCTTTGAGCAAGGAAACTTTAAAATCAGAAATGTACTTTTCCCTTTAAGAGAAAAAGCTAATCAAGTTAAATAAAAACTATAAACAAAACCACTCCCGTATAAGAGCACATTGTTCTATAAAATGTTTTAATGTATATTAATAAGAAGCTGAATTTATAGCAAGGAACTGAAAGGTTTGTTAACTGACCAGCTCTGTTGAGGCAAAGCCATCAAGCAACATTGTCCTGCCCTACATCCTGTGGACATGGGAATGTCCTATAGTTCCCTCCCAGCAAGCAGTCATGTGACTGAGGAACTGGACTTGTTGGTTTTACTTAATAAGTAAATGGTCACCTGTGGCTAGTGGCTGGCACCTGGACTAGAAAACTCCCTCAAAAGTAAAATCCTGACCAGGACAGTGGGATAGCATAACTGTGTCGATGTAGATGAAAACATGTGGTTTCAATGACTATGGGTATAGATGGCTTTAATTCACAAAATAAAACTTACTGCAGACAAATGCAATTTAA